AAAGGACAAAATAATGATGTAAGCTTTAAGTCACTCTTATGTGATGTAAGCATTTACCTCATTTAGGTTGTATTATTAGCTAGTATTATTACTTGCTCTTGTCATGTTTATGTAATGCTTATGAAGGGTACCTTTTCCTTACCTATAAAAGAAGGCTCCACTTCATTTGTAGATCACCTGGAAAAGAAATAAAAGCTTCTTCCATATATTCTCTTTTGTTCTTAAGTTTAAGTTCATACTCTTCATGCTTTCTCATATTCTAGTGACCATATCTCCTAGTCTTAATCATCCATTATCAACCCTAGTCTCCCACTCTTGGGAATCTTCAACCCTGGTATCAGCGCATACTAATCTAAATCATTTGGTTGCTTCATTGTTGTTCTTATTGTCCGGGTATTTTGAGTTCTTGACATAATATTTTGATTTAAAGAAACTTCTTCTGAAACTTCTTGCAGCAATTGCAACTTCACTGATTTCTTGAGTAGCCTAACACTGCCAGTAATTGATTGCACCAATTCCTTTGCCCGACGGCCAGGATTGTTGCAACAGCATCATCTTAAACTTATCCATCTCTTAAACGGTCGATATCGATTTTCCCACAGGAACCATCTTCATAGAGCCTAGCCCTCGAAGCAGAATCCGGCAATTTTGACCTGGTCTTCTGTTAACTGATTCAACTTGAATAACTCTCAGCACGTATCACCCAACCATCAAAATCCCCTCCCTCAAATGACGGTATCTCCCATCTCTTTCCCTAAATCATAAAACCCGTCCGATACCAGTCATCTTCTCCTGTACAATCTGCAACTTCTCTTCTTTCGTTTGCAGCGACTTCTTAAATCTCCTTTCATGCATCTTGAGTAACAGGTTCATCTTCTACATTACAACTTGTACATCTTTTTAGGAACCAAGTTTGTTCTACGTCGTCCCTAAACTACATTCGATTTTGTCGATTCTCGATGAAACACTCATCGACATCCCATAGATTGTACTGCTCTGATACCAATTGATACACACTTTGATGATCGAACGTGCAATTTCTATTAAATTCAACGGATCAGAAGATTACAAAAGGTATCGAGTGAACAAAGACGTTTCTCGGCTTTCACACAAACTGATTAATATCTCCTATTGACCTAACCCCTTATTTATACGATCCCAATTACTACAACTCTTACATTTACTACTTGTACTATTGCAATAGGACTTGTACCATAGCCTTCCATATTTGACCATTTGACCCAGGGTATAACAGAAACACCTAGAAACAGTGCATCAGATTCTACGATACCTATAAATGACTTTGTGGTCTTGGGTTGTTCTTCAAAAGGAATAAACATTGTAATATAGAAGTCCACTTAGGTTCTAGCTAGACTCGAGAACTTACAGATCAAAGATCAACCAGTAGTGGCACTATTCATCTATGAGGAAATTTGGTTACTTGGGGAAGCAAGGAACAAGCAGGACTTCCCCGAAATAGTGTAGAGTCATAATATCATGCTCTCTCGTTAGGATTTGCGAAGGAATATGGATCAAAAGACTGTTAAAAGCATTGAGAGTTAAGGTTTTTGAAATCCACAAAGATGTACAATGATAACGAAGTGATAATGAAACAGCTATACATATTTGCCAGTGATCTTGTTCATCATGACAAAACAACATGTGGAGATTGGTAGGCATTTCATTTCTAAAAGAATGAACAATAGAATCATATAACAAAGCTATATCCCTACATAGATGCAAATTGCATATTTTCTAAGGCTTTCCCTAGAACATATACAACTCAGCTTTACCATACATAGCTTATGCTACGAGTGTAGAGTGTTATTAATCAATTTATACATAGCCCAAAGAAAGTCCATCCAACAAATAGGATCTTGCAATACCTCAAATGAACATGGAAAGGAACCCTATACATAAGGAATGGAGGACTTGTTCTTGAGGCATACACATGTCTATTATGGTAAATCTCTTGTTGTTAGGAGGTAAACCTATGCATATTATACCTTTCTTGAAGGGGACCTTGTGACTTAGAAAAGTTGAAAAAAGATGTAGTAGCAAGATCAAGTGAAGAAACAAATTTTCGAGCAAAGATCATATTAGAAGATATAAAGATCAAGTGGGAGGCTCCTATAGGATTGTATTGTGACAACTAATCAATTAGAATAGCCCATAATCCTGTACAACATGATCAAATCAAGAACACTTAGATTGATAGACATTTTATCAAAGAGAAGTCAGAGAGCAAATTGATTTGCTCACCTTATGTGTCCACACAAAGAACTTGCATATTTTCCTACTAAAGGGTTAAACGATTCGAGAAATTTGCTATTCCATCTAGGAATCGAAAAATACCTATTCACCACCTAGAAGGGGATCGTTGGAGAAGTAGGGGAATATTTTGTATTTAGTAGGAAACTTGTTAGGGTGCAAAATTTTCACTCAGGTGATCTGCTTAACCTTGAATGTGAAAATTAGAAGATTCCAAAACTTTAAGAATGACAAAAATCAACTAGTAACATGACTAAACCTTACCTATAAATAGGATTAAAGAGAGAAAACAATTATAATGTTATAAGCAATTACACCCTAATCCAAAACATAATACATCAATAAAAAGTTTGGCAATGTTTAAAGCACTCACCCTCACAAAAGTAAACAAAAATCTCATAACCTAATAAGGCTATGAGATTCAATCCAACTAACATAAATCAATCTATGTTTGCTTGAATCACATAATTAAGTAAAAAAAAAATCCAATAAATCGTCACAACTATAGCCAAATTGGACAATCATAGTTTCAATAACTTCACGATAAGCAATAAGCAAATCTAAGGATCATAAACACACCCCAAATAACTAATCTCAAAATATAACCCAACATATTCTATAGAATAAAACTTTAATACCCAAGAAACAAAAAATATAAAACCAATTAATAGTTTAGTAAAAATCAATGATATAATCTTAAATTTGTCATAAAACCATTAATAGTGTGTAAAAACCTTCCCATATAACCCACCAATAGTTTAATAAAATTCTTAACATAACACCCACTAATCGGAGAATATTTGAAGCATTTTTTATTTTTATCTTTTCGAAAGACATAAGCTATATATATATGTTATATATATAATGGTTTCTTATTTGAATTTGAGGGTGAGCACATGCCCACCCTGGGCAGTAGGTGGCTCTGTCCCTGCTTATAGAAGTATGAAGAATGTCGGTTGCTTGTAGGTTGAATAGTTATCGACTATTATGGAGGAAGATGAATGTGTTACTTTCTTGCTTTTCACAGTGTATATATGTTGTGTGTGTATATATATATGGCTAACCCAACCTAATGCCACATTTATGGGATCCTACTAAATCAAATCCCACAATTTACTAGATCTAAACAAATTAAAAGCTATCCTCCAATCAGAGACGGAGCCACCTACTGCCTAGGGTGGGCATGTGCTCGTTGTCAAATTAAAAAAATGCACCATTATGTATAATATATATAGCTTATTTCTTTTGGAAATATGTATACAAAATTATTAGAGATATAAAAATTAAAAATGCTCCTAATATTCTCTTATTTTTGGGTGTTATATTAAGAATTTTACTAAACTATTGGTGGGCAAAGGTTTTTACCAACTATTAACGGTTTTATGACAAAAATTTGCGACTATATCAATGATTTTACTAAAATATTAATTGGTTCTAATTTTTTTCATTTCTTGGATATTTAAGTTTTTGATAGAAATTGTTTGGTTACATTTTGAGATTAGTTACTTGGGGTGTGTTTATGATCCTTTTTGCTCTTGCTTATCGTGAAGTTACTAAAACTACGGTTGTCCAATTTGGCTATGATTGCGACGATTTATTAGACTTTTTTACTTAATTATGTCATCCAAGCAAACAATTTTGATTTTTCTATTAGTTGAATTGAATCTCATAGCCTTTTTAGGTTATGAGATTTATGTTTTATTTTGTGAGGGTGAGTGGTTCAAACATTGTCAACTTTTTATTGATGAATTATGTTGTGAATATTTGGATTAGAATGTAATTGCTTAGAAACATATTAATTGGATTTTTTTTCTCTTCATCCTATTTACGGGTAAGGTTTAGTCATTTTACTTATTAATGTTTGTCATTTTTAAAGTTTTGGAATCATCTAATTTTCACATTAAGGTTAGGAGAATCACCCTGATCGAAAATCCAGCCTACGTCCCTACCTATAAGTAGAAACTACAAACTTCAATGAGAGCTAGAACATTTCATCTAGATGTCTTCTAATTATTTCATTTCAACTACTTTGAGCTTAACGACAGCACAAGAGGCGTATAAAGTATAGGAGGCAAGGGAAGGACTCAAGCAAACCTCCTTAGACATAAAGCCCTAAACTTGATATCATAGTCTAAAGGTGTATCTAGATTCAAGAGTATATATAATCTGATTCACAATCAAACATAAAAGAAGACGGTTTAAAAAGTTGTAAACAACAACCGGGTTATGAAACCCACAAAGGGTTGGTCTAGCGGTTAATCATTGGAGTCTCATGCCTCATGAAGCATCAGGTGTTACATCTCCAATGAACACAACAAATTTGGTGCAACCCTATTCATTTAACAAATATAGTCTTTACTATAAAACTTGACTCAAATAATGATGTATAAGTAGTACCATTTTATGTGTGGTTTTGGTGTAAAAGAAGAATCTGTTTGGTGTTAAAAATTGTGTAATAGGTTGGAGATAAATTACGGTTTGCACCAAAAATTACATCATTTTAGTGCAAAAATTGGTGTTGATGGTTGGAGATGGTCTTAGGTTCAAATTTTATTCTCGCTACATGTTATCCATTCTATTAAGGTGTACGCTCGCTGGCCAAAAGGCCTAAAGTTTGCCCTCGCTGGAGGGGGAGCTTTTGCATGGACTCATTAGACTAGTTAGACCGAAGGTGTCACATACCATGGTTAACAGGAAAAAGAATTGGGTCATGGAAACTAAAGCAAGAATCATAACCTGTCAGGATCTATAATAAGCACAACAACGTTTGGCAAAATACGAGCCGCAATCTCCTGGGCATCATAATAAGAACTAGTCGCACATAGAGCCATTATACCTGCCACCAGAGAATATACGTTAATTTATCAAACTGAAGGTAGTGACGGACAAAAATGACAAACCTTTTAACACGATAAGATTAATAAATCTTAATCAACGAAAATAAATTTAGAAAATGGAAATAGAAGATTCTACCTGCTCCTCTGGCAGGAGGAAATGTATCCCGCAAAGCACGAACGGTGAAGGCATTAATCAACACTCTCTTACGTGTCTGCAATGTACCAATGGATGCATCAGTTTCATTATTCAAGATTAATTTTATATTCAGGAATTGCTATCTACATTTGAAGAAGAAAATGGTAATGATGGGCAAGAATACAAATAACTTTACTAACCCCTTCATTAAGGTGACTGGCCAAATTCCCAAGTAAAATGGTGGTATTTGTTCTGATTGCTGGTTCTTCATCCACCTGTGGCAATATTAAAATAAGTATCAATAGTAAAAAAACATAAAAATACCGGTGTGAAGGGAAATGATCAGCACCACAGGGAAGTCTATATAGAACAAACGAACTAGAGAGACATTATGACAGCCCGTGGATTCATTACCTGGAGCTTTGAAAGATATTTCAAGAGTGACCCAGATATATTCCGCTGAGATAACTGCAAATAAAAATAATCAGAACAAAGAAAACAATGAAGTTAATAAATGACTGCACCAGGATTGTTCATAGCACATAACTGGCCTCAACATATGAATCCCTCAGATAAAGCATTCATATTGATTCCATAATTCTGTTAACACCTGTTCATCAGCATGGCTTCGTAATTTATCATTTAAGCTGATAGCTACTCCTACACTCAAGTTCAAGTTTCATAACTACTTGATGCCTTCCAACGGACCAAAGAAAATGAGGACCTCATGGATAGAACTATCAAATGTTGCATGAAGGTAATAGGAATTGCATTATTCAAACAAAAATACAAATACACTACTATTTTCTAGTTTGTTGAAGTTGGTGCGCAACATGACTTGCATCCATTCATGGGCTAACAAGAAATTTGAATCTCTGATACGGTGATACCTTTTCCCCTCAAGCAGATATTCATTCTGGTATAGACATGATAGAATGCTAATTAGCACACCATCATTATAAAGAAGTCACCCATAGAAAATTTTCCAAAGAACGCACCTAATTAACTAATGCTTCATCAGTAAAGGAGGAAGGGGAAATTCAATGTTCTGAACTTAGTGGACTTAGGTTTACTATCAACATATTATGACAAATTGGAATTAACTGATAAATGAATATCCAGATGAATACTCCAAGCGACAAGTGATATGAGTATGCAATAAATAAGTATCCAAATCTCTCTTCCCCATCTCTCCCCTAAGATTGTTGTTCTTTTCTTATATACATTTTGTCTAAATTAAGTTATGCAGTTAATAGCGCGCTATAGCGACGGTATAGCGATGAAATAGCAAATATTGGTCTTGGCCAAAATAGCGGTGCATGAATAACGGTGTATTATAGCGGTACCGCAAATAGCGGTCGCTATTACCCATTTTTCTTTTGGGCTCTTTCGGACTCCTTTTTTTTAATTTAATTCCATTTGGGCTTCTGTTGTCTTATTTATGTGGGCTATTTAGAGCCAAACTTAGGCCTCCAAACAAAAAGGAAACCAATTAAATCAACAATAGGAACAATTAGGTCTAATTTTGGTTAATTCCAAGTCCAATATTTTAAGTTACATATATATTCATATTTATTTTATGTATGATTTTTTTACCGCTATATCACCGCGACAACCGCTATTTCAAATGAAGGTCCCGACCGCTATTCTCGCAATCGACCGCGTTAACTGCTTAGAAATTAAGTTAAAGGGAAACTTAACCTGAAAGTAAATATAAGCCCGAAGGCAACATGCGTATAATGTGTAGTGTTAAAAGAGAATTAACATGCATATAATTTTGTCAAAATGCTCTTATATTTTGATTAATGAAACAGCAGGAAAATCATAGAATGATATAACAAGAAATCACGTGGCAGCAAATTTATTATGTGATATAACGGAACATAACATGATATCATCAATGTCTATTACGTATATCCATTAAGTTCTTATATGACTACAATGGGATAAGGATCAGTGAAATGCAAACAAAAATTTATAAAGGGACATGTTAATGACATAAAGTATGGAGTTATAGAACTGTTTATATATGTCTCGAGTCTATTGCAACTGACACCAGAGCTACAGAACTCTTGATCATATATGAACGAAAATCATGTTATTATAGCAATCAGTAACCAATGTCAAATGGTAAAAAAGAACAAAGAACAGAGAGGGGGAAGATGAACAGACCTTTGGAGCAAGAACAAGCATGGACTTAAGAGTCAATTCACGCAGAAAGGCAGATGTGTCTGAAAATCCAGTGGCAATATGAGGGTAAACCTGGTCACAAGCAGTACCACACATTCTCAAAATGGAGAAATGAGGTTGAGACAAATCAAAATCAGCTTGTTTGCAAATGGAAGTGCTAGTACTTGATTCTTACTTGCTCATCAACAACTTGAGAAGTAAATGACTCCCCATATTGATTAATATGCTGCAAGAGACCAACTCTAATAGCTCGGTCATTGGAGGCAAAAAGTTTCACTAACGTTGGTAGGACCTACACTGAGAACAAAAATCAGCAGCAGCCGAAGTAAACTAATTACAGAACATCCACAATGTAAAACAGCTAGAACACAGGAACAATGAGACACATAACATAAGAGCGTGACCTTTATGTTGAACTCTTCTGCTGAAAGCCAAGCACCAATTTTTAAGAACGGGGTCAAAGCAGGTGCAGCAGCTGAACCAAATTCCAAGGCAGAAGCAAGCAAAGGAAGCAACTGCATATTCGGATGCACATTGCATAAAAAGATCTGCTTTTAACACACTAATAAAGCCTGTCACATTAAAAAAGTATAATACCTTCTTCAGCACAATTTCACGAGGCAACTGCTCTGCTAGAGTTGGAAGCTTACGAAAAAATGAATCCTTCTCAACACTGTCCTTTAAATTAAGTATTTCCATAAAATGAATAGTATCCACCAACTTGTTCTGAAAATATTCTGCAATAACAAGTTTGAAATTTCATTATAGGCCAAAAAGGATAAAACAATTATGTACTCTAGTAAAAAGGCATGTCAAAGATGTAACAGGTAATCATCACAAAAGAAATTGGAGAGATAAATGTAGTATTAAAATTTACAGGCTTCATTCTTGAAAGACAAAAGGATTGAAATATGATAGACTCCAGACCATAAACACAATTGCAGCCATATAAGCAAGGAGTTGTACATAAAATCAGAACCTAAGGTGTGTATAGGAACAAACCACAGTTCTCCACAAGCTTCGATGAGTTCAACCTACGTGAAGGCGTAGAACTCAAGAGGCGCTGATAATCTGGAAGTAGAGACTACAACAAAAAGAGACAGACAAAAATGAATATTCGAGTGGCAACAACCTTAAAACAGTCTAGGCAACAAGAGAGAGCAAGCACACACCCTCAAAGCTTGAATAACAATATTAATTTAGAGAGGAAAGTGAGAACTGCAAAGGACAGAGAATTAGAGCTCTGAGGGGCATCAAGAAGTTACCACCTCATCAACAAAAATGGCATGCTGACCTTTGGCAACGATGCTGTATTGCGCAGCTCCTCGGTCTTGCTCAATTTCAAACCCGAAAACATCTCATAGATGAGACAGCCTAGTAATAGCAACCAGTATTAGATTTACCTTGAAAATAGATGTACAAATACCAAACATATAAAACAGCTTCCAACCATATCAAGCTTTCACTAGATAAACCTTTGTTTATCTCCCACAATCATGCAAGTGTAGCAAGCTAGAGTAACGAACGTGTTATTTTCTGTGTCCAAACTCCAAAATCTTATAACAAAAACAAAAAGATGAAACTGAACAGCTGAAAAGTCTCTTTGTTATTAGTCAGAATTCAGTATTGACATGCAGGCCTTCTGCCACCATTAATCATTATGCCAAGTAGTCCCCAGCTAGTCCCAACAGGCTAATGAATATAGACCAGGACCATTTAGGTAATTGCAATTAATTAAGTCCATTACTTTTGTATAATAAGACAATGAAAACCTAGTACAAACTTGTTAAAATCATCAGCAAATTAAAGTAGAGGTCTGCAATTAAACATACAAGATTGGGTAGATTGGCTGATTGAAACCAGAAGTTATCATATGGGCAATGAGAAATGATAAGTTCATTCCATTACCAAGTAAAAGAAATGGTCATGGTTCAAAAAGATGAGGCATAAAAGCTCACCTAAACCCCAAGAATCAATGGCCCATGGTGGAGATTTTCTGATTGCTGTCCAGTCTGATTTTGCCAACTCCACTGGCTTGTATTGTGTGCCAACAAGCCAATCATATTGCTGGACCAACAAAAGAATATAAGAATTCAAAGCCATCTGGCGGGAGTTTTCGAAGATTCTGATAAGCATGCACTAAAGAACTTGAATAAACAACAAACTTCATGAAGATAACAAAATCAATAGAAATACCAAGAAACAAGGGCAGAACATGTTAACCAAAACAGAAGAAAACACTCCCATTTAAAGTATAATATTCTCGAAAAGGTTTAGGATATATAGTAGGGATGAGACGTCAATGTAAGTCTTCCACTAATTTTCCGTTGAACTAAAATTACTAGATCACAGTATTCAATGTGGTAGTTCTATTCTATTTCAGTGTAGTGTAGGATCATGCAGGGAGATAGAATCAGGCTTAGGATCAAAGCAAGGTCTATTATGTTTGTACTAAAATTACTAGATCACAGTATTCAATGTGGTTAAGTTCTATTATGTTTGTGTTTATTCCCATTGCCCCATTTATTGTATTACATTAGGGGTTTCCCTAAAAAATACGCATTGGATAAATCATAGGCCTGGACATTTACATGGTATTAAAGCCTTCAGGATAAAACTAGTACAACCACGTTGAGGTTTCACATCAGCAGCCACAGCAGCTACGAGCTAGCAACTTTGTTTTTCATTTCGATATCATTGACCTACATTCCTTATTCTCTCGATTGATCAACCACAAACTGATGCTCTTAGAGCTCCACGAATTGTTTAGAACCTTGCTCCAACCAGATCCAACCTTGTATGAATAGGAGCATGCTGCAGCCTCCTCGATCCCTACAGTTGTTTTCACTGCCTCACCCTTCATGAGCTGACAGGATCATCAAAGGATCCAATGGTTTTTCTACCATCCAACAGTACTCAACAGCCTTTGGCATGGCTTCTATGTTCTTGCCAGCCTTATCAACCGTGACCTGGCTGCCATCTGTATTCTTGTCATCATCTGCATTCTTGCAACACTTTTTATGGGCGAAAAAGTATACTTATATTAATATTTCAACAACTGTTGAAGACGGCCATCTCCCCAACATTATTTAACCTTAGGTGAATCTAATGGAGGGTCATCAAACTTACTCAGCCGCAATTTATCTTCAACATAAAGTTCAGGCACTCTCCTATCTGCTTCTAAAAGCCGGGTCAAATATGTCTTTCTTATAAGATTTGAGTTGCAATCAGTCATTCTGTGGAAATCTAGGGTCACCCTTAACTCACACTCATTCTGCTCCACTCACACCCGAAAGAAAGCTAGCTCATCTCTCAGACTGGATCCGTGTTTAACAGACTTCTAGGCCTCACTGTTCTTTTATCTCTACTAAGAAGCTAAAAAAAGCTAACTTTTAGTTTACAGACCATTTTGCAAATCCATAAAGTTCAGGGACCTTCCAATACATTCATTCTGCAAACCAGAAGGTTCTGCAGTCATGTTCCATTATGAGCTACTCTCTCCACCCATTTTTGTTTCTGCAGTGTTTAGATAGAGTAATTTGGCAGAAGCAGGAAGAAGAGAGAAATCAAAGACAGTCATCACTACTACAAGGCTTATCCTATTCTAACACCATCTGTCGCTCCGTTACAGCCCATTTCTTTTCCAGGAACGTCCTCTATAGTAAGGTTCATTGACATGATAAAGCAACATTATTAGAAGTGGGAAATGAATAAATATGACAAGTCATGATGTACCAGCATTGGTCCAGAAGCTGCTTCATTATTCCCATCAAACTCAGAAAGAACATCAAAAGCATGCAGCTTCCAGTCCAAAGTTTGAGTAACAACCACACTTTCCAAACAAACATTACCATGTACCTGTATGAAACAAGAGAAAGCAAAAGAGAGATGTCACCTCCCCAGCAACGGAAACAGCTTACATAAAGACCAGTTAACGAGCCTTAGGTCTACAGTATACTCCTGATGTTGGATGCATTGAATAATAGAACTTGACAAATGCAAATGTTGAGCATATGTTGACCAACAGCTTGAATAGCTGATGAGCATCTATACTGTTATAGCGGTGAAAATACAGAATTGCAGTCAGGAGTCAGGAGTCAGGACTGATATTTGAAATAGTGGTCCAAAAAATAGCGGCTCATATAATATTCTTAGAATTATATATATATATATAGAGAGAGAGAGAGGTGAGTTATTATGCAACCCTTTACATTTATACAACCAATACAACTCAATCTCAACCGTCCATTTAATTTGATGAATATGTGATTTCATAGAAGTTTTGATTGTTTCCTAATATAAAGTATTGATCATAATTAATGAACCCTAGTCATCTTCCATAAATATTCAAATCATAATAAATGAACTCTCATCATTTCCAAAAATATCTCAAATGATTGGGTTGCATTGGTTGTACAAATGTGATGGGTTACATTTGAAATGTCCTCTTATAAATATGTATGCATACATATGTTAGCGTAATTCTGGTTTGGCAAAATGCTGACCAAGTCAGAGGGGAATAACTTGGTCATTGGTGGTCAGTTTAAATAGGAAGTCATGGGTAGTTTTTCAAGGGTGAACAACCCACGTTTCTAGTAGTTAGTTTTTTTCCTTCCAGTAGTTTCTTTTAAGCATTTTCCTTTGATGTACTTTCCAAAATTTTATAGCAATATAGCACCAGAAAAGTTCCGAAAGTCTGTGTCTTCCTTTTCATTTTTGTTTCGTATTTGGGTGTGTTTGTCGATCCTTAGATATCAGATTTCCAACACTTGGTATCAGAGCTTGGTTCATCCCCAAATACCTCTGGTTAAAAGATATGTCGATCGTGACACAGGGAAGGGAAAGCGGTGGCATACCGTTTCAATGTGCGTTGTTAACATCAACGAACTACACAATTTGGGCGATAAGGATGGAGGCTGTATTGAATGTCCAGGGGTTATGGGAATTCATTGAGCCACCAACCAGTGTGGCGGTGGACGAGAAGAAGAATGAGTCGGCGAGGGCCTTCATCTTTCAAGCATTGTCGGAGGACATCCCCTTACAAGTAGCCAAGAAGAAAACGGGACATGAGGTTTGGGAGCTTGAAGACCCTGTATCTCGGGGAAGATCGAGTCCAGAAGGCTCGGTTACATACACCGAAGTGAGTTTGAGGCTCTTCGGATGAAGGACGAGGAGACTATCGATGATTTCACCGGAAAATTGAGTGGGATGGTTTCCAAATATAGCAGCCTTGGGGCAACGCTTGAGGATAGTGTTCTGGTGAGAAAGTTGCTCGACTCGGTCTCCAACAACTACCTACAAATGGTAGCTTCGATTGAAGAGTATTCAAACGTCGACTACATGCCGTTTGATGAGGCTATCAGTAGACTGAAAGCCTATGAAGACAGATTACGACTCCGCATTGGCAGTGGAAGTGCTGAAACCAGTCTGTCGCTCACTAGGCCAACAAGGTCAAAAAGTTGCAGGAGCAAACTCTTCGTCAGGAGGACAAGGATGTGGATCAAGCGACAGAGGAGGTCGTGGGAGAGGCCGTGGTAGGGGAGGTCGAGGCGGAATCAACAAGCACTGAGATGGTGGGAACAACTATCACAAGCCTAGAGATAAGAAACACATTAAGTGTTTCAACTGTGAAAACTACGGTCATTATGCATCTGAATGCAAGGCTCTAAAAGAGAAAGGAGATGAAGCAAATCTGACTCAAATGCAAGAGGAACCGACTTTGTTACTTAGCGTCTGTGGTGAGAAAACAGATACGTTGGTGCTGTTGAATGAGAAGAACGTATGTCCTGGTAAAATCAAAGGTAAGGGTGAGACTCCGAAGATGTTTGGTACCTTGATAACGGGGGAAGCAATCATATGACCAGAACATGGAGATTCTTTGCAGAGCTGGATGAAAGAGTCATCGGTACGGTTCCTTTTGGGGATGGTTCTAAAGTCCAAATCGCACAAAGGGTCTGTTCTGTTGGAGTGCAAAAATGGAGAACAACTCGTCTTGGAGGTATATTTTATCCCAGCCTTACATAGTTATATTTTGAGTCTTGGACAAATGACTGAATTGGGATACAAAGTCGAGATGTTCAACGAAATTTTGAAGATACATGATGAAGTTGGTCGCCTAAGTGTTCAATTGGAACATGAAAACGTGAATAAATTGGTCCTAGTTACTCTTCGGGACGGAGTGGAAGAAGGGAGGGGATTCTCGAACGCAGAAAAGGATCCAATAACTTCGAAAGAATTGAACAAGGGTTGGTCGTTGGGGGTCTCTAGAAAGTCCGTTTTATAATATCATGAGGGTGGAACGATCAAGAAATCAATTGTATAAGATTTCACTCCAAACTACTCAACCTGTTTGTCTAATGGCGCGCCTTGATAATGAAGCATGGATGTGGAACGCCCGATTAGGTCACATAAGCTTTCGTACTATCGAGTGGATGGTTCGAAAGGAACTGGTTCGAGGCGTTCCCAGAATACAACATCCTACACAAGTTGTGAGGGATGTATGGTTGCAAAACAGTCGAGACATCCGTTCCCAAAGGAAGCTCAATGGCAGGTAAATCAACCACTCGAGTTGGTTCATGCTGATTTGTGTGGTCCAATAACCCCCTCAACCGTGTCAGGTAACCATTACTTTGTGTTAATAGTAGACGATTTCAGTTATTACATGTGGGTTTTTATGCTAAAATCGAAGGATGAAGCCTTTGCCAGCTTTGTAAAGTTCAAATCGAGAAAGAAACCTCAATGAAACTGAAAGGGTTTCGGTCGGATCGTGGAGGGGAATTTGTCTCTGAAGAATTTACTGAGTTTTGTGAACAGGAAGGTATTCGAATGACAGCTAACGGCCCCTTACTCCCCTCAACAAAATGGCATGGCAAAACGTCGTAATAGAAGCATTCTTGAAGCAACCAGGTATTATTAAAAATGATGGAAGTGCCGAATATTATGTGGGGTGAAGCTGTTAGACACGTTGTCTATATACTCAACTGAATTCCGACCAAAGGGGTGAAAGGCATGACACCATACGAAGGCCTAAGAGGAACCAAACCAACACGCGAACACCTAAAGGTGTTTGGTTGCATTGGGTATGTAAAGAAGCCGGCGAATCAAATCTTGAAGCTAAGCAACCGTAGTATTCCAATGGTATACCTGGCAGTTGAATCAGGTTCTAAAGCCTACCGAATGTTGAATCCAGGAGAGCAGATGGTGATCGCTCGTGATGTCGTTTTTGATGAAAAAAGAAAATGGGACAGGTTCCAATCCCACACCGGAGAGGCCGAGACAAACAGAATGTGGGTTAATGTTTCTTTTAATCATGCCATGGGGGAAGAAGTGCCAACAAACACCACCATCGAAAATGAATTTGAAACTCCTACACCATGCTGGTGAAATCTCACAAGTAACTCCAAACTTTGGTTCCTCAAATGAAAGCCATGAAGTAGGTGAGCTTTTGAGCACCGTTTATTCAAAAGCAGAGGCATCGCACTCCACAACTGAAACCGGGCAAAGTGTAGATACCTCAACGTATGATCATACACTTGTTTGAGGTTTTCAATCGTTATCTGATATTTATGCTAGAACAAAACCAATAGAGCTTGATCCAGAAGAACTAATGTTTGTAGGTGATGAACCTACAACATACACAAAAGTTGCTAATGTTCACTCGTGGCAGGAAGCTGAACAAGTTCGATTGAAAGGAATCTTAATACTTGGAAACTCACCAATCTACCTTCAGGTCATAATCCAATCATACTTAAATGGGTGTTTAAAGTGCAGAGAGATGTTGATGGAAATGTGGTGAAGCATAAGGCCCGGTTGGTAGTGAAGGGATACGTCCAGCGGAAAGGGGTGAATTTTGAAGAAGTATTTGCTCCGGTGGCACGGTTAGAAACCATTCGATTGTTGCTAGTCTTGGCAGTGATGAAAGGTTGGACTGTTCATCATCTTGATGTCAAATCGGCATTCTTGAATGAGGAGTTGCAAGAAGAAGTGTACGTGTCCCAGTCCGATGGTTTTGTCATTAAAGGAAAGAAACACATGGTCTACCGACTGAACAAGGTCCTTTACAGGTTATGTCAAGCACCACGAGCATGGAACATACGTCTCGACAAAGCATTTAAAGATTTGGGCTTTACAAGGTGTTCACAAGAGCAAGCGGTGTATAAACTTCACTGCCCCAAAAATATTTTATTAGTTGGTGTATATGTGGATGACTTGATTGTGACGAGTTCAAATGAGGATCAAGTAACGCGGTTCAAGAAGAAAATGCAAAAGGTGTTCGAGATGAATGACTTGGGGCAACTAACTTACTATTTGGGAATAGAAGTGCGACAAAGTGAGAATGGAATCAAGATAAGTCAAGACGGGTATGCAAAGCAGATCCTACAATCAGCAGAGATGTGGGATTGTAATCCAACAAAGTAGCCGATGGATTCAAAGTTCAGTCTATCAAAGGATGAGCAAGGGAAACCTGTGAATGCCACTGACTATCATCGACTCATTGGTATCTGTGGTACTTGATCCAGACCAGACCTCGCTTACTCGGTCGGAGTCGTTAGTCGATATATCGGCAATAGGTCTGAAAAAGTATCTAAAAATAAAAACTTTAGATATCTGTACTGCATTCTCCAAAGTAAAATCACCTGAAGTCAGTGAAGCAAATACTCCGATATTTGAAAGGTACCGTGCAATATGGATTGGTATATCCAAGACGTGGCGACAGAAAGCTAGTGGGCTATAGTGACAGCAGTCATGGAATGGATTTAGATGATCGAAAGGGCACCACCAGGACAGTATTTTACTTCTCTAATAACCCGGTTACCTGGTTGTCTCAGAAGCAACACACCGTGTCTCTATCATCAAGAGAAGCAGAATTTATGGCAGCGACAGCGGTGGCGTGCCAAGCCGTGTGGTTAAGGAATCTGCTGAAGGATTTAACCGACTATGAAAGCTCAAATGTGAAGTTGTACGTTGACAATAAATCAGCAATAGCGCTAATGAAGAACTCGGTGTTCCACGGTTGAAGCAAACACGTCGATACGAGGTACCATTTCATACGGGAATGCGTTGAGAAGGAGCTAATTAGCGTGAAGCATGTTAGTGGAGAAGAGCAACGAGCTGATATATTGACCAAGGCGTTACCGTGGGTCAAGTATATCGAGATGAGAAACCTGTTGGGAGTGAAGAACCTTGAAGACAAAGATCAGAATTAAGGGGGAAAGTGTTATCATAATTCTGGTTTGGCAAATTGCTGACCAAGTCAGAGGAGAATAACTTGGTCATTGGTGGTCAGTTTAAATAGGAAGTCATGGGTAGGTTTTCAAGGGTGAACAACCCACGTTTCTAGTAGTTAGTTTTTTTTTTCTTCCAGTAGTTTGTTTTAAGCATTTTCCTTTGATGTACTTTCAAAAATTCTAGAGCAATATAGCACCAGAAAAGTTACGAAAGTTTGTGTCTTTCTTTTCATTTTTGTTTCGTATTTGGGTGTATTTGTCGATCCTTAGATATCTGATTCCCAACAATATAAACATATCATCTGCATTGATTTTAAAAAATATAGTTTCAACATCAACTTAAACAAGTTTCACAAAACAAAAAAGGAAAAGTGTTCATAAACGAGCTAATCGCAAGCAATAGGTTCAGCATCTGAGTCAACATAGTTCTAAAGAGACCCAAGCTAAAATATCAGAATATCGGTCCGCAATATCACCTTAAATATCGCTCAAATATCAGTCAATTGCGCCACTAATATCGGAAACGCAATTTTCACCGCAATTTTACCTTAGTCCGCAATCCGCTATTGCACTACTATTGCAGCGCAATAACGCCGCAATTATCAGCATAGATGAGCATAGGTACACATTGCAAGTTACAACAATATTATATTGATTTAAATCACTTCAGTTGTTAGAGCCACCTAAACTTTCTGAGTAAAAGCACAGTAGAGCACTAGAGCTAACTTGAAAGATGCCTAAAATTTAGTATCCCCAAGGATTTTGCTCGACATTTTTGGTTTTATGTCTACATCTTTTAAGAAATTAAGCAGTGAATCCAATGACAGCATATAACCATGAAATAGACACTTGATACAGAAAAAAAGCAGCACCAGTCTTGACATATAGATGAACTACATCCTCCCATGCAAACACCACACTTTAGATTTTTTTTTCCATTTTGGTTCATGGAATAATTTTTTTTTTGCAAAATCATAGGTTAAGAATGATTGGTATATACATATGAAATGTCATATTCTTATTATCCCATGAACAATTGATCTAACAGCCTAAATTGGGTCTATGCCATTTTCAGTCTTCCTTTTTACCCCAAGTGGCATCTGAATAACTCATCTAATAGCCTTAAATGGTGGATAGGGACTCTAGTATCACAGATTCTTGCAAAGCATTATATCAACTCATCTAGCACATTTCCTTGCATTTATAGTCTCCACTGTGTGGATCCTGCATGCCCAAGTCCTCACATCATACAAATGGAACCCATGGGAAGAAATGAGACAAATTGACCACTCTTACACAAATTGACCGTTTATAATCACTTGCAGAACCCTGGATACTGATTATTAGTTGAAGGATGACACAATGCTAATGCTAAATCTGTGATTCATTTTTCTCTCTATTGGTTTTCTTTCCTACTTCCGGAATGAGGTGGGGAGCACCCAGTCATTCATTCTAGTGTTTGTAGCCTGGAATGATAATCATCAGTTGGGCGCCTGTTTGTTTTTTGGGTTAAGCTGGGGCTTGTCATCCATATGTACATCAAACTCCTATTGATTGGGAAATGCTCAAAGGTTCTTGTTCAAATGCCAAATCCCTTAGATGACTCACCATCCCCTGAAATACCCAATCCAAATTTGAACTAGTAACTAATCTCAACATGGAAGTACTGAAAAAACTCAACTGAACTTGACTTAAGACGAAGGAACCGAGTGCCAAAAAAACCGGTTTCGCTTCAAAATCCAACTAGATTGACATCTTGAAGTGCCAATTTCCTTCTTATGACATCAGCAATAACAACATAGGAATCAAATAAATGGCCATATTACAGAGAAAAAATCAGGTCTATCCGGTCAAAATAAAACTTGTCCATGAGAACCGCAAATGCTAGAGATCAGATCATAAAATTTTAGAAACCTAACCAGTGAATATTTAGTTCACGGGCTACAGTCATGTTATGTCACAATTGAGATATTGAATTTAGTTCAGATGACTGTACTCACAAGTTTGCAATCGTTATTGAGGAAGCTCACAGCTTTTGCTATTCGGTGCAGGCCCCAGGCATAATATTCGTCCCTAATATCATTTCACGACAATGGTGTAATGTCATTTCCCCAGGAAGAACAGTTAGAGAGAAATAAATTGCAGAATTACATAACATACAACAATAGCATAGACCAGAGAACGGGATGTTCCTTGTTGTCATTTCAGCAACTAAACACATTTGTCGAGGAATTAGTTTGAGTTGCACAAGAGGTAATATTCTTAGGAAACAAGTGGAATGCAATCTTGAAGTGAATTAAGTCACTTGACATCACGGTGACCACACCGGATGAAAATAAGTTCTTTAACAAAAAGCCTAAGTCGGGATCTGCTCATCAGACAAAGAGTAAAGGACTTCAAGCTGATATAACAACACCAGTCTATCCAGACCTCCACTTATTTCACCCAAGCTTCCTCCTAATAGAATGTGATTCTCGTTTTTCTTTATTTTATTCCTCCCACTACAGAAAGGAAATTAAAAGCAACAAAAATCAATTTTTATTTTAAACGAAAAGTATTTGGAACGTTAAAGCACACAGACATGTGCAACTCATCCTTTAACATTCACAATGACTATCCCTATATACTTTCTCAGTAGAGTTAGATATCCCCATAGTTGAATTACCATTAGTCTTGAGCCACTAATTCCATGACAGTGTTGATAATCCTGGATATTGCAAGTTTTTCAGCTATTCGTCCTTTTAAAGCAACGAACAGAGATGATAGGGAATGACAATGTGAGAGCAGTCCCAATAATACATGAGAGTGGGTTATTGGAGTTAATATCATATAACCGGTAGACCTCACACCACAAGCATCAGCAGTCAGGTCCCATAAGAGAGAACAGACTACCATCATAGCACTGCTCAAGCACCAAATATATACATGGTCATAGACAAACCAAAGGAATGAAGCTAAGATAATTTATGTAGGGAGTAGATGGTCACTACCCACTAGTTAACAGTGGCAGTCCTATCTCTTTGCTTGGTATATATGTTAGTATAGCATGAGCAGAGCATGTGCTGGTTAGAACATCTGGCACTTGTTCTCATGTAATAGCATTATAGAAGTTTGTTGGTTTAGATAATATAGTTTTAATCTAGAATAATACACTTGTAAATTAGCTAGATTATCCTTTCCTATATTTTAGAGATTAACATCCTATTAAATTTTTTTTTTTTTTATTAACCTGGATATCCAACCCGCTATGCGAGCCGACTAATCCCAAGGTGACCACCTGCTTTGCAGATACCCCGGAGTCATAGCATTTGAACCTCCGTGGCCACAAGGGGATTTTTATTCCTCCTTGGATTTGAACCTGGGACCTCCTGGTACTTTTGACCTTTGGAGCCAAGCTCAAACCAATCAGGCACCACCCTTGTGGTTTTAAATTTATATCAGTAAGGAAACAAATTATGTAGTTAAACTTACCTTGTAGATTTCTAATCAAGTGAGAAAGTATTCTGATTTCTCAAAATGACATCATCGTTAGGGGTGATGATGCTGAAGAAATCTACAACTTGAAGGCAACTCTCACCCGAGCATTTGAGATCAAAGACTTTTGGATCACTGAAATATTTTTTGGTAATGGAAGTTGCAAGATCAAAAATGGGGATCGTAGTGAGCCAACAAAAATATATCTTTGATCTTCTTTTTGATAATGATGAAATATATCTTAGATCTTTCTGATAGTGGTATGACAGGTTATAAGCCAACAAACACACTGATAGATCCCAATAAAAAAACTGCTCGTGTTGGGAGATATTTTTCTGATAGTGATCGAGTTCATGTTGGGAGATATCAACGATTGGCTGGGAAGTTAACCTCTTGTCTCATACAAGAACGGATATTGCTTTCACTGTCAGTTTGATCAGCGTAATTCACGCACTCTCCTAAGAAAATTCATGTAGAAGCAGCTTACCGCATTCTAATATATCTCGAGGGATCTTTAGGAGGGGACTTTTCTTTGAGAAGAAGGCTCAAAGAAGTTTTGGAGTAATTACCGGTGTAGATTGGGCAGATTCAGTCATTGATAGAAGATCCAACAGTGGATACTGCTCGTGTGTATGCTAAAATCTAGTGGTATGGCAAAGTAAAAGGAAAAATTAATGTCTCGAAGCAGTGTTGAGCTAGATTTCCGTGCTATGGCCAATGAAATCTGTGAAGCAATTTGGCTCAAACCAGTATTCGAAGAGTTACACCTATAATTGGATGGTCCTATGAAACTATACTAAGAAAACAAGGTTGCCATAAGCATTCCTAATAATCCCATGCATCATGATAGAGCTAAACACGTGGAAATAGATTGTCACTTCATCATTGGAAAAGCATAAATGGAATGATATGCATGTCGTATGTTCCAACCACGCAACAAGTAGTTGATATCCTTCCAAAAGGATTGTTTTAGACAAGCTTTGATGGAATCATCAACAATTTAGGTCTTGTAATATTTTTATGCCCCGGCATGAAGGGGAGTGTTGGTGAAGAAAATATAGCTTTAAATTATAATAATACAGCTGTAAATTAGCTAGATTATCTTTCCTATAGAGATCAATTTCGTATCAATAAGGAAACTATTTAAGTATCTAAACTCTACGTTGTATATCTCAAATCAAGTAAGAAAATATTCTCATTTTTCAATATTACAAAGTTATTTAGTGAAACTCTACTTACTTTATCCAAGTCCCCAAATATGATATTGTCTATCACATTTCTCTAACCAAAGAGATAGAGATCAATGGTGAAGTTACAAAGAGAAACCTATCTTAAAGCATATCATGTTCAGACAAAGCTGCATGCATTTCACAACCTATGGCCATGGTACCTCTATAACATAAGAAACCTCCAACAGAATTAATAAGGGAGAAAGTAGAGATCTTCTTAGCATGCAACTATAGATACAATTTCAATTGGTGTTTACACTAAATGTGAGGCCTTACATTCAACTATTCCAACGCCACACAAGGCCACATAAGCACTAAAGGGTTGTGCAGAAGAGAAAAAACTGTAACTAATTACAAATATAACACAATATTTTCACTCAAAACAGAATAAAGAGTTCAATGTTCCAAAGTTCACCAATAAGAATGTCTAAGAAGAAAAGAATGGCATGCTTTTTATCTCAAACTAGTAGAGACAGGTTAGGAGTCAACAGACTCTCATCAACTCAGGCATAAGAATAGGGCAATAAGATCCTCAAAAAATGAGCCTTTGTGTACCTTTGTGTACCTTGTAATCCTAATTCCTGGATTTTTTCCGCCAGTGGCATAACAGGTTCGGTGACAATATATATAGTGACCTTCGTAGATGATCCATCCATTATTTCAGCCTCCGTACTATGAAGAAACGATAAAATGTTTGGATGCCTGACCTGAAATAAGCAAATTATAGCTTTGTTTCACTTGCAATGAAGACATACTAATAATAAGCTCACAATATGTATAAACATTATCATTCTGCCAAAAGCTTGTCTGAAAACTGAGTTGACTATTTCGAAAATTACAAAGAGGAGGCCTGCACAGGCAAATAGAACTGTCCAGATTCCCCTTTTTCAACAGTCGAAGAAATTTTTTCAGGTAAAACACCAATAAAAATCAGTAATCAGAATAAATTTGCATCAATGACAAGATTAATTGAATTCTGATTGTCTATCTGACATTACACAGTGAAACCAGCATAAATAAGTGCATATCGTTCATACTTAAGCATAGCTCATAGCCAAGCTCTTCATGTGGCATAGAACTAATTTAGAATATATTTATAGACATACATGTATAGATATATGTATATATATGGAGAAAGAAATGCATATCAATAAATTTTATGTTCAGAAGAGGAACCATCTCTTGATGAGAAACTCACTGTTCGAAGCCGTTTGATACCATTGCGACCGGCAGCTAAACGTCCATCATTGTCATTACTTCCTGAAAGTGAAAATATTGATACAGGTGATCCATCCACCTGGAGAAAAATGACAGTTACAAACTAATCCCTTCCATCAACAGAGAGAAAGCAAATAAAAAAAATTTGAGAGCATCTTCCCACACTTAATGTATTTAAAATAAATTTAAATAGCGGCATGGGAAGAAATCATCCATGGCAACAGGTTAATAGAGCTACCCAAAGGAAGATGTGACCTCAAGTCCAACCAGAAAAAAGGTAGGAAGTCATCAACTTACAATTAAGAAATGGCTACACAAAGGGAACAACCCACAATTGAAGTTGGCCACAAGGGATACTGCAGACTCCTTTTCCACTGATCACGAAGATCATCATTTGAGTACCATACATGCTGTTTTGATGTGTTGGTTTCATTGCACTGTACAGTGATTGCAATAATTATATGTTTTAGAAACCCTTAGGGAATGGAAGCAAGTGGCATCGGACCATGGACAGAGAACAAAAAGGAATCAAAGTGATTCCAAAATAGACGCTGCTGGGTTATAGCTAACCTAGTTTAACAACAACGGTTATGCGAGTACTATTTTCTTAGACATCAGTAGCAAAAAGATAATGCAAGCCTAAGAAGACAAACATGACTGCCTTCCTACAGAAGTGAGGTTGCAAGTTCCGGGCTTCCTGAAGGTCAAATAGAGTCAAAAAGTCAAATATGACTTCCATCATTTTATTTTTTGAACAGAAAGTTCAAAAAACATGACAAGATAAGCATGTCGTCATGCACTATATTTTAGAGGAGCAACAAGTCTTTTGCACCATGTCTTCTTAACACAGTGATTTAGTACTTGCATCATAACGCCTGAAACCGAATAACATTTTGCTAATTTTATTTTTTTTCCTTTCGATTCAATTATTGACTCCTTGGCAAACCATCACCTCCTTACTTTTATGATGAAGCTCAGTCTTTTTGGGGTCTATCTAATATTAACATGTCGTTTCTTCCCAATAAACATCAACCTGAAATGCATAAGGGAACAAATACATTGGAAAAAAATACTAAAAACATCTGCAATTTACCGTCTACTAACAAAAAATAACCTTCATTTCTTACACACAAACATGATTAAATATTAATACAGAACAAGCATTATTTATTCTACCAAGCATATTGTTAGTGTTGTCTGCCATAAATCCTCCATGTCACTTGCTCTCAGCGACTTCAGGTTCCATGGGCTAGTCGTCGGTGGAGGATAAATTTTATAATACAAAATTTGCGACTTAAAATTTCAAGATGCATGCGATTTGAGCTCACATTGGTTGATCACGGCAAGTTGTTTCCGCGAATTGTATAACCTGCATGCAGCTAATGTTGGAACCGTTCAACCAGCGGCATTTATATCCATTTTAGGGTTCTTTTATTTGTTATCATGAACATAATATCTTTCTCTATCAAAATACTCCAGAGACCTATTGTACTCACCATTGTTCTTCATTCTTCAAGCTTGTAATCATCAATCAATATAGTGCACTAGTTCTCGGCGTCCTCCGCCTCTGTTTTTTCCCAATTCGGGTTATATACATACAAAATCCCAGTGTCACTCTCTATCTCTCTTTACTCATTGCATTTACTGTGGATTATTAGCATTGATTTTGTTGGTGGAGATTGCTTATTTTTACCAATAAATCATTATCCACTTCCACGTTGATTCAGTTTTGAATTATTTATTTGGATTGATGTTGGGGCTGTCTGTTGACTTTGGGTTTGACTTTGATTAGATAATCAAATTAGTGTCATAGTTTTTCACACCTATATACAGCTAACGGGGGTGTGGTCGTGACTTTGATTAGATAATCAATTTACAGAGACAAGCATAAACAAACCCACATGCAATTACCTATTGCTCATGAACTTAATCAAATCTTCAATTGGTTCCAATACCGAACCCGTAACAAATCTCAAAATATCACACTTCTGTGAACATACATTTCAAGCCCAAAGAGATTATACTACTTCTGTTCCAAGACTACACCAGATGTATACTTAACTAGATTGATAACATCCCCTTGAATCTTGATTCGACTATGTTAAGGTCTTTCTCGAGCTGCTTGTAAACTACATTATGCAATAGCTTTCAAATGTCACGCTAACAAGAACATTTAATTGCTGTGTGATCCAACTAAAAAGAGTACAACTTAGATCCTCCATGAAATTCATGATATAAACCACTGAAGCAAGATGATTCACTAACCCTAACGAATTTCAGTTCCTTGATCCTAGCAGATTAACATTTTACTCAAGCTATCGGAAAAACAATATCGCACAAGAACGCCAAATTCAATTCAGGCATTTGATCACACAATTCAACAGATTAAACGGATGAAAAACACAAAGATGCAGGCAATACGTATATTATTGTATAAACACCCATACATACATGTATAAGTATGTTGTTTCTATGTTACCTTAGAGGTGCCGCGAGAGTGAGTCCAAGAGCCCCAAGCGGAAGAATAAGGTTCCCCGATGGTGTAAGGCAGATCTTTGACGCCGGCAACAGATCCGGCGACGACATCTTTCAAGAATTTGAACATTCTCTCTCCTAACTTCCCCTTCCTCTCTCTATAAAGTAGCGATCGGCCGATCTGAGTATTGTGATTCTTGGGGAAGAAATCCGGTGGACCGTTCAGAAACGGAAATGGATTTGAACGGTAACAAACAATTTATTAACGAATTTATAATATGACCCAAATCTTGACTATTTTTAAAAAGTAGAGACAATAAAGGGCAAAATGTAAAAAGAGTAATGTATTTTAATAGAATATAAATGTGTTAAAACATCATTAATGACATATTTTAGTTTAAATGAATGTTAATTATATAATTTAGATGTAAATTTCATGATGATAATGAATAAATATGTGAAACTATATAAATTTATCTATAAATTCAACACTATAATTTTTAATAGATAAAATAGACGATTTCAATAAATTCATACGTTTATCAGTTTACAAAACAAATAGTCTTATTGATTCAGATTTCAGACTTCAGTATCACCTCTTATAAATCAGAAGTGAAATAAGACTTCAGACTTCAACACATCTTAAAAAACAAACGTCATCCAAATGTTAAAATAAAAACTTAAAACCAAATTGTAGAATAGAGAGATAAAGATTGAAAATTAATTTATGCAAAACTTACTTCAAAAAAAGGGCGAGTGGGACGAAACAGAGAACCATATCAAATTCCTTGAGGGTTTTGCGACTTGCAAGAACCGATAATTGAAGAAATGAGTTAGAAAATGGAAAAAAATGAGATATTTGCAAATGATAATCTTGTTGGTCTTGGCGTGAAGTTGAAGGACCAACAGGAACAATTCTCACTGTTGTTTAATGTAAATAATGGTGTTTCGAAAGACATTGTTTATACTAATGAAGGGAGTCGGGGGAAATCAGATTTTGTAAAAGTTGGAAGAGAGCACTGTATATGCACAAGTGAATAAGATAATGATTATACTTAGGATCAAAGGAGTAGGAGACGGAAAGACACCTCGGCTGTAGAACCTGACACAACCTTTGGCAACCCAAAATGTAAGTAAAAAAGAAATCATTATGAGCCTCCATAGAGCTTAAGAAGAAGAGAAAAGTTGATACTTTGCCATTTTAGCGGTTATTACACATGGATAGTCATATCACATATGGTATAAAAATCTGCTAACTTATATTATGTAATTGGAAACAAATTAACACGTTATCAGTGGCTATAATATGAAGATTTTTCAGGGTATAATGTAAAAGAAAAATAATTTAAAAGTACAATGTCGTAATAAAGAATAAATAAAATACAATGATATGAAGAAATGGAAAGTATATTGTTAGTTCATGCATTTATCCTAACTATAGAATTGTAAAAATGCATTTATCAGTATCTGAAGGTTAAGGAAGTTTGAAACGTAAAAATGGGGACTAAGTACGAACGTAAGTATCATAAACTTTTATAAATTGAGATATATGCATCAAATCGAGCTTGTTCCTTTCTTATGTTATATACTTGGTGACATTAGTAGATCCAGGATTTGTGGTAATGGGATCGGAATTCAAGTTTATAAAAATGTAAAGGGACTCTCATTCATAGACCCAACCATGCTCGGTGATGACATGCATTACATGTTTTTTTAAGTATATAATATTTATTATATACGGGAAATGCAACAAATAAACTCACGCACGCTCCTCACCTTGGTGAGTTTTGAACTCTTGACCTCCTAGGAGGCCAAATACTACAATACCAGTAGGCCAAAGACCCTTTAGTGATATGCATTACATGTTTACAGAGGAAATTTTTCATATGACTACATGTATGCATGATGAAGAGGTCTTGAATACGCGTGTACATGAACAACTTGTTGAGACGTCAACTATCGGGATGTAAACCCATCGATAGGTCAGTTGTTTCAGTAAAAGTCATGCTAGGTTCTCCAGACACAATTAATGATGGTCCACTGTATGGTGGAACCAACATATTAAAGTTGTTTTATGCCTGACAAATGATGATTGTTTTGATTAAATGATAAAACCTTGTTCATGTTTTCGAGAACCATGTGGCATATCGATAATTTAAGTTGCTTGTTATCAGACAAACTCTTAACCAATTATAATAAAAACCCAAGCTCGCTCCCTATTCCCCATCCCTCTTCTGTATTTCTTTGGGTGCAAAAGAGAGATAAAATATAATTTTTAACGATGACACAATTTATTAAAATGCCTGTTATTTTAACGATAAGACAGTTTACCAGAATAAATATTATTTTTAACAGCGAAAATACATTAAATATAGGAATTTAATGTTTTTTTTTATTAACCTGGATATCCAACCCGCTATGCGAGCCGACTAATCCCAGGACGACCACCTGCTTTGCAAATAACCCGGAGTCACAGCACTTGAACCTCCGTGGCCATAAGGAATTTAGTGTTTTCTTACGTTTCACTTGAGTTGATGATTGATGACTAACGTGACTACTGATGTGTCTCTTAGATCAAATCACTTCGCTGAAAGATATAAATATGTTCAAGCATTATCATCTGTTTTGAGAAACGAGTATAAATCATCAGATAGAAGTCTTTACAAAATACTGACTTTTCTCTCATTTTTCTTACAAAATATCATATTTTTCCGCTCAACTTTTTTAAACTACTTTAGTTTGTGTTCAATTTAATTGGTTTTTTTAGTTAAAGATGAAAAGTGAAACCATAAATATCGAAATACAAAGAAGTAAAAGAAATTATAACCTGAACATGTGTTTTATATTTTATAGAAATACCATAAATTAATAAATAAATAAAAATTATCAGTATACCTGATGTGCTAAAATCGTAAGTGTGCACACAGTGGGCATAAAATCCCCAAAGTGGTGGTGCAAGTGCACGCCGACACTAAGATCGCTTCAAGTAATAAAGTGGTATAGTACCAAGATCGTTTCCACAGGGACCGGACTTACTGAGAATCAGAGACTTTCATGAACTTCTTGAACAATGTTTCGGGTTGAGAAAATATTTGAGTTTTGATTGGTGCAAAGCGTAAAAATACGAAATAAACCTTTAATATTAAAAGATGGGTATGGGTGTAAGCTTTGCTTAAGAATAAAGCAGGAATGACTTGGTTAGAAACCCATGGGATTTCTATAAGAACTCATTTCTCTCGAAAGTGAATTCTTATATACTGTGCCCACAGAGTGCCCACAAAACGTCCAAAATTATCAATCTTAAACTTGCCGATTTAGCTACTAAATAAAAAGATATCCGGCTCCACTAGTCTGAAGATTTATACTCACAACGTATTGTAGCATAAACTCGACTAATATCTGAACAAAAGCTAAAAACATGCAAAAGCCGCATCTCTGCGTGATTATCAAAGACTCTCTCGAACCTTTGTGCATCATCTAAGCCGTATTTCAGATCCGCCCATCTCTGGATCAAGGATCTAATATTAACACTTCAAAGTGATCGGCTTATCCGCGTTGAGTTTACGTCCCGACTTAAATGACCAAGTTTAAGAATCAATAAAAATGGCAACACCCAAGTGTGCCCTTAAATCCTTAAGCTTGACTCACACCCACACCCAAGGGGGTGCTTAGCTCATAATGAAATTAGAAAACATAACATAAATAGAAGAAGAAAGCTGCATAAGAAATACTTGAACTGAAATTAAATACTTACTGGTGCCCACAGAGGGCACACAATGGAGTGGCGAGAATAAAAGCTAAATTACGAAATTTAAATTACAAACTGAATATAAACTAATTCTGCTACTACAAAGCTTTAAAGAAGATGCTCCAAGGTGCTGGTGGAAAAGTTGGTGTTGAGATGGATTGGAGATGCCTCAAATATATAGGGGGAAAGGTGGGACCCAAACACTTTGTCCAATGGGTAATGACCACCCATAATGACCACCCATCACCACATGTCTTCTTCAATCTTCATCAAGTCATCTCCTTTTGATAGGTTGCAAAAGGTGAAGGTACAACCAATAAATGTGATGGAAAAGCCATTACATCATGGTACAAAATGAACTCATCAAAGTCTCATCATCCCAACTAGGTTCAATCTTCTATGCAACCAAGTAATTAGATTTGAACTTAGCATTAACTCCCAATAATATCCAAGAATATGAATATCATAATTTTGTTCAAATCCAACTAGATGCCAAATTTACCAACAATAAAGAGTTTTTTTAGACAATAATTAAATTCTTAACCTTTCATCACCTCTTAACATATTTTGGACCAAAAATATAGAATATGAGCAAAATGGGTACCAAAGATACAATAAAATAGGKGTATAGAACAACAAATAACTCTAACAAAATGAGAGTTATCAATACCCTATATGGCATTGATTTCAAAAGTGCTATATTTCCGTGTAGTGCATATATCCATTTCATTTTATCATATAACTGTACAAGTTTTAACGTTGTTATTCTCCTTTTATGATACATATTTTTCATCTTGTCGTGTACAATCATTAGAATCCAACTTTTTTAATCCCATACTTGCACACAATTATATGATGATAAAAAGGTGCATTTATTGTACTACAATATACAATACAATTACATGACTATATTCACCGACACTAATGAGTTATCATATTGTGGGACTATGGTCCACTCTGCACCTTATCATCTACCAATCAGCCCCTATAGCTTAATAAGGGACCTCTAGCCTACTTGAAACGAGCTCACTCGTTCAAACAAACCCATATCAAATGACACCTGTCACCTTTTCGTAACTAAACTTATAAAAATACATTTTCTTCGAACTTAAAACCACCACTTAAATAACCTCCATTGTTGAAAAATTCATCATGAGATGATTCCAAGTCACCAATCATGTCCTTCCACATGGGTATGGATGATTGGTCATGATTAGTATTGAATGTTATATGATCATCACTCTGTGCATTTGAATCATCTTCTTGCTCCATTAAGGGGGTATTCTGCACATTTGTAATAGTTGAGGGACTACTTGGTGAATTGTTGAGTTTGGTGTCCTCAAAGTTATGTAGAAAGAAGCTGAGAGCCCCTGAGTCTGAGAACATGTGTGTGTTTTTGTGCACATTTTGGCATGTGTGATACCCAAAATATGTGATATGAAACATTTGTGATCCATCTTCCAATTTTTGAACTTGTTTTAATGCCTTGCACCCTTCATTTTTGTGTGTACATCTGAAATAACACCTGTATAAATCACAAATTTTATGTCAGATAAAAACATTATTTTTTTATAAATTTACAATACAGACAGAAGATCAAACAAGAATAGAATCAAAATAAGCCAAATCATATCATACGGTTACGAAACACGATCAACTAATGGGTGAACGGGCAACTTGGCCGACGACCAAGGGCGAGCATATTCACATGTGATTAATATCATGTGTGAAATCACATGTGAATTTACACTAACATCATGTCTCAAATCACATGTCATTTTACACGAACATCATATGTCCAATCACATCTCATCTGACCATTTTCATGTTTTCTTTTATATATTTGGCTTTTGGGTAAAACCTTGGTTTGCTAACCCTGTTGAAAATGGTTTAAAGCAACATAAATTAATTGTTTTAAATACCTATAAAAACCTAATTTATAATATTAAATAAATTATATAAATTAATCAAATCATTGCATTGAAAATATAAAAAGACATTAAATATTGATACAAGTATGAACTGTCAAAAAGATAAGATGTTTAGTTGAACCAGACAGCTGTCATAATAAAAGTTGGCTTTTTATTATGCTGTCACATGGAATTAAATTCTATTTATATACAAGTTGTATAAAATAAATGAATGCTTTTTAAGAAAAAAAAAATACAATTACACCTTTTTGTTAACATTGGACCAATTAAATTTAGATTAATTGCTTTAGATATCAATAAAAATGATACATAATATATTTTAAAGATAAATGACGTCATAAATAAAAGTGAGACTGTGTGAGTGTGAGGGACCTGGGAGCTTTAGCATTGAGGATCTCCTTCTGACCATATTTCCTCCATGCAAAACCATCTTCGATCGTATCCACGACTTTAACCCTTGAATTTTCCGTTTTTCTGCAAATTCCACCAACACCGTTTTAAAAAGTTGTACTTTGTGCAATAATGCTTGTACGTAAGTGTAAATTAAGCATCACTTTAAAACGCTTAATTATTTGGATTTAAAATAAAAACGGGAAAGGGAATTCGTTCTGAGTTCTGACCGTCTTTTGTAACAGCCTCGCCGGTCCTTGACAACCGGCGCCGGCTTCTTCTCACTTTCGCCTGAGTCCAATGTCCGGTCACCGGAACTAGCTGAACCCACGTAGGTAGTAGTCGCTGAAACCGGATATGAGTCGCCGGAACTGCAAGAAGCTAACACCGAGAGGCTGTCGGAGAAAGATCCGAGTATTTTCATCACGAGATCTTCAGCTGAAACCGATCCATCGTCTTTGGTTTTCCGGCGAAGTAGATTCTGAAGTTCTTTTGTAGAATCTCTGCCTCTAATCAGCTCCCCTATCAATCTTTTGTTGTTCGGGGATGATGTTTCCATCATTTTAGATGAAGATGAATATACAGATGCCTCTGAATCTGATTGGTGCTTCAATATGAAAAGTGTTTGTTTGCTACTGATCCACAAAGAAATGAATACAAGTGAACACAAGCCGATGCTCATATACTATAAATACATATACATATATATATATATATATATATAATGTATGTGTGTATGTTTGTATGTATAATTGTGTATTACAAGTGTAAATTATTGAAAACTGTACTGTCGTATCTCATGAAAAATGAAAAGTACCACACTTAATCGTCNGGGGGGGGAGGTGAGAGGGTGAGGGTGTGGTGATCTATGAAGGTAATGAGAAGCAGCTTAATAACTTCTGAGAAATTTCTAAATAAGAAAGAAAGGGTAATTCGGGAAGTGACGCCATCGCGGTGACGTCACTCTTCATGCTTATCTCCAGATCTTGACCAGTGAGGTAAAGCTTCTTCCTAATTTGTTTATAGAGTTTTTCGTAATACCCATAAGATCAATTTATGTTCATTGATCAATTTTATAAGTTAATAATCTAAAATCGTACGGTGACAATTTTGTGATTATTAAGAAGTCTCGTACCAATTTTGTGATTATGAATGTTTAGATTGTAGATCTAATTCAAGGGTTGAGAATTGGTCTTACGGATCTCACGAAAAACCTTTTGTCTCACATGATCTCAAGTCTGTTTTTTATGAATAAGACAAAAAATAAAACATGACATTTTTTTTTTTGAAAAATATTTATTGCAATATAATGATGCTTTTATTTTGTAGTAAATAAACTAAATGGTGTTTAATTATTGTTTGGTATTGATTAAGCGTCTATTTAAAAAAAATGTTTTATCGATAAAATTTAATACTGTCATTTATTTGTCAGGTAAGATTTTAGTCTACCAAAACGACAATGTATGCAACAATTTAGTCGGTAAGCGCTTATCATAGTAAGAATCGGGTAAGACTCTTGGTCATTATTTCGCTCTTATCAGGTAAGATTTTTGGTCTTTACTATATTCATCTGGTAAGATAATGTAACTTGGTAAATGTTTACCATAATAAGTGTTTGATAAACTTTTCTATTTCTTTTTGTTTAGAAATGGTTTAGATAAATTAATACTTAAATATTTAATTGCTTTGTGTAGATGAATTGTTTAAAATCTGATTTGATAATTTGTGTTTTTGATAATTTAAAAAATATTAATGACTAATCTATTTCTTTTCACTAACCTTATTTTCTTTTTAACCCTAATTAATTATTAAAAAAGTACAAATACTTATCTTTTCTTTTTTGGTCCACTAACAAAATGCCCCTACTTTTCAACGAGTGCCTCAAAAAATGACATGTGTTCCATTCAAAAGTGTTTAAATAAATTAGTTTATGATAATTTAAAAAAAAGCTTTTCAATGAACTCATAAAATATAGAGTAAATATAAATTTGGTCCCTGTGGTATGGAATACTTCATTTATTACATAGAATGCTTTGTGCTATGCACTTTTTGCTGGATCCGGATCCTGCACCAAATACCCGTCTATTTTCTCCATTAAATTTAAGGGTATTTTCGTCTTTTTATATTTTTCTTGATTTTTTTGTCTTTTTAACTTATCTCTCCCCCTCATCTTCGACGACGTAAACCCATCCAACCACAGGATCCCCCTCCTCCTCACCTGCGAAAGCTCACCTCCACACTAGAACTACCAACCACCCTCCAAGGCATCAACACCTCCTCATATTATCTTTTGATTTCACTCCAACCTGTGCACCCCTCGACCCACACAGATACTGCACAGACATTGCATACACACAAATACTTCGACAGTCCCCCACAGGCGTCAATACAACACCTTGCAAGTTCCTCCTTCGTGAAACCACCTACCACTAATGATGAAACCTCGAATATTAAATATAGATTCAATATCAGCAATTGATAAACCAAGCCTTATATAAAGACTAAGTTAAAGTTGGGCATTAGTAAAACACAATAAAGCCGTCATCTTCAAATTCGGAAGACGTTTATTTCTTTCTTGTGCCTCTAACTAGCATTCAATTATTTCATAGTGTCACTAGTACCATTCCCCAACAAGAACCAGATTCACATGTAGACAAATAAAAATGGTTAGACTTAATGTCTAGTGAGTTTAACCAGTTTTCATCATAATCATAAAACGATAAAACTAAAAGACTGCTGACTTAAATCATAATTTTACTAACGAAATGTCTTTATTGAAAAAGCAACATCTTTCCGAAATCCATCATTTTCTTGATGAAACTCATAAATCAAAACACCCATTTATACGAAACAAAAACATAATATTCACACAACCAAGAATCTATAAGATGTTAAAACGGAAAAACATAGTTTTAATTAAGTCATTTGTATAATTAGATCATCTTTACCCTTGGAAGCATGTAAAATATCTTAAGATTACGCTGGAGACCCGATTTACTATTGGTTGTGATGGTACACATAAGTAAGTCACAATTCAACGTTATATAAGCATCACTTATGAATAAATAAACATTGACATCAACCTTATCCGGATATTTAGTCAAATGGGTTAACAAACTTAACTTTATCCAAGTCTTTTTCTTGGTGACTCACCAAGTTCAACCTTACCCGGGTCTTTACCTTGGGATCTCCCAAAACCAAGCTAAGCTCGTTTACTAGAAACGACAGCTACTACAGACTACACGGTCATCAAGTTCAACTTATCCAAGTGTTTACCTTGAGTCCCCCATTAAGGATCACACGATCATTAAGTACAACTCTATCCAAGTCTTTACCATGAGCCTTTCGCTGATATGAGTTTCTAGCTACAATATAGGGATAACTATCTCATTTCAAACAGACTCCTATGTCTATTGATTTATTGCATTACAATCTAAAATTACAAGACCCCAAATGAAATACCATGCACTCAAAACATGTAATTTACAATCAAATATATGATATCTGCATATAACTCTGAAAGCTCCTCATAGAGCAAATAAAACCGGTCAAATGTCCCCCAAAACTCATCTGAGTCAAACCTGAGCCGAAAGCTCAACAATTCTATTGACTATACAATAAAAGTCATCAAAATCAGTAAGATACATTTAACCGAAGTTTACACAAATGCATGTTCCAAATATATGATTAACTCAAAAACCTATCATTGATTGGGACAAATCATTTTACAATTAAAAACCATATAATTTATATTTCCAAAATCCCATAACACAAAAATATGCATCTTTCAAACCCTTCTCCAAATTCATCAAATTCTCAATGTATCATCAACATTCAGTTCTTGAAATCTTTACCAAAAAGCAAAGAAAAGGAAATGGTCCAAATGGATGAAAATAGAAGGAAAGTAAAAATCCTAACGGAATTAACAAAAATCCTTAACTCAGTTAACTGACATTTTGGTGCTTTTAACTTGTTCCTTTTTTTGTCTTTTTCTATTAAAAATAAAACGTATAGAAAAAACATATATAAAAAGATTAACTTAAACATTTTTATAATAATTATAAAATTAATTTTAGAAAAGTTTTTCACATAATATAAAAAGAATATTATATTATATCATATATAGTTTTTTTAATAGGAAAAACATAAAATGCTTTTTAAGTTAATTGCTTAACGGATCTGTTAACTCTGTTAGTAAGAAGGATTATGCTCAAAAGAAATTGAATACCATTGAGATCATATCCATAATTAATGAAATAGAAAGATGATAGTCGTAATTTTTTATATACTACAGGGACCAAAAACATAATTCACTCAAAGTTATATAAAAGCATTTATAATCAAAAGGTGAATGGTTTTTATAACAACTACAATCGAAGAGTTCTTACAAAACAATCACATCCTTAAAGTCCCTCTATAAAAAGATGGGTTATTATGTTGAAGTTGATATGAAATGACATTTTTATAGTTTTTTATACAATTATTAACGTTGAAACAATAAACGGGACCCACAAAATAAGGTCTTATTACTGGGACCCACAAAATAAGGTCTTATTACTGTTGAGGTTTATGTAAATTCTTAATTTAGAGAGTTGACAAACAAACACAAACGTTGGTTCTTACATAACCTCCATTGGAGATGCTCTTACCGCCCCACCTTTCATTTTAAATGATGTATTTTTTGAAGGTTATGTTTGTAAAACGCCCTTTTGTTCCTTTTACGCTGTTTTGGGGGCAGATGAGAACAACCCACATCTCCATTTGCTCCATTCTTGAGGTTGTCAAGTTGGGTTTTCTTCAAAATCATCAAATGAGTTCTCCTCTTTTCTCTTCCTTCGATTATGTTTTCGGGTAAAATCGGACAACCAACGTCTCCATTCTCCATTCTTCATTGATTTTTGGAAGATATGCAATGTGTTTTTGTCTCTTAGTTTTAGATGATTAACAACCAAAAAACAAAAAACACACACTTGCGATAGTGGCATCACTTTGGTGCTCATCGATGGGGTGTGGGGGAAGGGAGGGTCACAGTGGGGGGTTTTACCCAAGAGGGGTCACTATTGGTGACCGGAGAAGAAAACGTCTTTTGGGGGGTGATGGACGTGTAATTGTATAAATAATATAATATATTTTCTAAATAGTTAATTAGAGATTAAGAAAAAAGTAAAATGATTGTAGTAGTCCATTTAAGAGAGTTAGGAGTCATTTACCAGACGTTTACCCGGATAAGCGTTTATCAAGTCACATTACCTTAACGGATGAATACGACAAGGGCCAATAATCTTACCTGGTAAGAGTGAAGGTAAGGACCGAGAGTTTTACCTGGTAAGTGAGGGCGACGACTTTTATCTCGGTTAGCGCTTACCGGGTAATTGTTGCATACATACCATATTGGTGGACAAAAATCTTACATGATAAGTAATTATTAGTGTTAAATTTTACCGGTAAGTGTTTGCTAAAACGGCCCCTTAGAAGGAAAGAACCAAAGCTTAGAAAAAGGTAAATCACAAAGACATTTTCTTGAAAAAAAAAATTGAAAGTCGAGATAACAAATGGTCGTTTGGTTTGCAGGATTCCGAAGAAATCTGAAGGAATTGGAATGATCATTTTCGTTAACCAAATTTCTTTCAGGCGTTTGGTTTATCTATGAAATTGAATTGAATTTCACACATTCCACC